CAATTTATTTTTCAACTGTTTCAGCGATGTTGAGGCATCTGAGGCTGCAGTTTGTTGTGCTGTTGAATTGCACTGCGTTAAACAGAGAGGTGGTTCGGTTTTTTAGCCAACCTTCACTGATATAATTGGAGTGTACACAATAATAGAAACACCTGTCATACAGTTAAATAAACATATAATCTAAACCTTCATGAAGGCAGAATAACTAGGTAACTAGGTGTACCTAATAAACTGGCACCTGTGTGTAAATGTGTATGAGCTGTGCATGGTGAGACAGGCCTTTTCTCTGAATAGGAATAAAAAACAGACAGTGAATGAATGACCAAATGAATAAAAAGTGACACATTTTGGGGAGAAACCAGAACTGTTTATGTTCAGCTGCAGCATCGACAGATCCTCTGACTCCCTGAATCCACTGCACATCCTCATGTTAACTATAAAGTCCAGTTATAAATTGTTAATCAGCCATTCAGCCCTCGGAGACTAAAAGCCAAATCAAAGAAGCACTCCAGAAAATGACAGCTGCGCCATTGAATAGCAGAGGTAATTTCCAATGCATGTCCACAATTAATTTAATTCACTCCAACACTAGCCCATCAGAGCTGAGAGCTTCCCCTGGGATACTTTCTCTCAACCCCACCTCCATTCAGAATTTGCCCCTTTCCCCACCCCCACTGACAGGGTTTTATCCAAAACCTGGTCTTTACCCACTGCCCAATGCATGCTTTAGACAGACAGAGCAGGGCAGCATGACAATAGGCATCATGTGTGATTATTTGTTAAGAAATATAGTGTCATGCAGTTTAGAAATGTCCTACAGCACCAAAGCATCGTGACCTGCTTAGAGAGAAAGAATGAGCTGGATGTGTCTTTGAATTATTGAGACAAAGTAAATGTCAACAGTGGCCCGCTCTCCTGCAACATCATATCAGGCTTGGATCTGTTCTGTTGTGAGCGCGAGGTCATTTCTTTTGTGTTTAATTCAGTAGGAAAGGTGCTCATTGAAACATGTATTCCTTGTGTAAAACTCTGCACTCTCTGGCAACGTAAAAAGAAATTGGTAAGCGCCATCATGCCATCTTTTTTCTGAATTTTACATAAATGTACTGATACATTGAGGTGTGTGTGTGATCATTTCATCATGTCTTATTGTCCTTCCTACTTTCTTTATGATGATGATTTTACAAGGGAAAGGATTGATAGAAAGAAAAAGGTCCACAACATATTTCATTATATAAGAATTATTAAATAAAGACATAATAAAATCAAAGGAGCTCTTGTTATTCCTGCTTTTATATTCATAAATACCAATAATAAAAAAAATATTCCCACAACTTTCTTAACAAAACTGACTTTTATGGTCATCAGCAGTAACAAATTATAGCAGCAAAAGTAAAATGTGAGTAATAATAAAGTGCTAATACTAATAGATGTAATATTTGTATTTTAATATACTCATACTAAACTTTACAATATTTTACTATTATATACTATATTGCTGTCCTATATATGTATATATTATATTATACTATGTTTCTACATTTCACCATATATTTTACATTTTATAGTATATAATACTGTACTGTACTGTAGTAAACTATATTGTGTTAATATGTTTTATCACTTAATGTACTACAATATTAATACAGATGAACACTAAGTATAATTATTCAAATTACTTATTATCCAGAACAACGCTGCTAGTATTCTGCTGAAGGTGCGCAAACACGACCACATCACCCTCATCCTCAAATCACTCCACATGCTTCCTGTCTGATCAGGATTGAATACAAGGTCTCCCTCCTCACCCACCAGTGCATCCATGGTGAAGCCCCCTCCTACCTCAAGGAACTCCTCACCCCACAGACCTCCACACGTGCCCTCCGATCTGCCTCAGTGTATCTCCTGAAACCTCCCAGGACAAAGCTCCGTACAATTGGAGAGCGTCCTTTCTGCTCATGCTCCCAGTCTGTGGATGCCTTAAAACCCACCTTTTTAGGAGAGCTTTTGATTGAACTCTTGCCATTTTCCTTTGCCTTATTTTTTCTGTTCTTATTTGTCGTGCTCTCTATGTATTTTTATTTTTAGCACTTACCTGTTTTATCATGTAGCACTTTGGGATTTGCTTAAATATAAAGTCCATTACAAATTACATGTATTATTAATTTTATTATTATTATTATTGGTATTATTATTATTATTATTATTATTAAATTGGTGTTTGTTGTTATAGTAGATGGTATCATATTACCTGTATTTATACTGTACTTTGCTGATTTTATGGCTACTAATTACACCACTATGTCACTTTCCTTGAAACAGTACATATTAGTTTAAGTACAGCACTGGCCATGTGTATTGCATGTATACTGCGTGCCTTGTGATTCTGATTTTAATTACTCTTCCATAGTTTCTATTTTTATTTATGTTCTTATTTCTTTTTTTTTTTTTTCTCTATTGATCTGTACTTATTTCTGTCCTTGTGCTGCTGTGACACCTGACTTTCTCCACCTGGAGATCAATAAAGTTTCATATTAACTTATTTAATCTTAATGTAAGGCAATGCAAGGCAAGTTTATTTGTATAGCACAATTTAACAACATGGTAATTCAAAGGGCTTTACATAAAACATAAAAGCAACAGGGAAATATGTAAAGTTTAAAAGCAACATAAAATATAATAAAAGTTACAGTGTTACAATCAGGGTTAAAAGAGTTAAATGGAAAATAATAAAAAGCTAAAAACAAAGAAAAAGAAAACAGGACAGTGAAAGTTACAGTGCAGTGTAAGTTATCAATAAAAAGAAAAATCTTAAATATTTAATTAAAAGCAGTGGTAAAAAGAAAAGTCTTCAGTCTTAATTTAAAAGAACTGACAGTTTCAGCAGACCTGCAGTTTTCTGGAAGTTTGTTCCAAATATATGGAGCATAATAACTGAACGCTGCTTCTCCTTGTTTAGTTTTGACTCTGGGGACAGAAAGCAGACCTGCCCCAGACGACCTGAGAGGTGTAGATAAAAGACAAGAGGTGCCTCTGTCTACAGGATTTATTTTCACTCTGTAATGTGGCTAAAAACAGAACTGCCCATTTACACTCAGTATTCCTTCCACTTATTTGACTTGTTTGTTTTAAAGTTTCACTATATTGATTTAGCAGACCACAGTGAAGGTAACCAAGCTGCATGCTCACCACTCAGCCATGTGCAATAACAGCAAACCAGAAGAGAGATAAGTAGGCAGATACAATAGAAATTAATTCAGCATGTTTAAGTGCAGCTGTCTGGTCACCACGGAGCAGGTGCCACCCACACCCACCCCCACCCCCCTTCTCTCCAGCCTGCCATTCACCCTTTTCATCTGGGTTTCTATTGCAGCCATACTTCATCTGACTCAGCAGCTATCTAATAAATCCTTATAGTAGGTATGCCCTGTTTCTCTTTATGAGTTATGATCTAACTGATTCATGGTGATGGTGGACAGAAAATGTTCCTCCCTGATTGTCCATGCCTCCATCTTTCCATCCGAAGCTACAATCAACACTCAATCCTCCTCTTTCACTTAATCCCCCCTCCAGTTCTTTTGTCACTTTATCCATCCATCTCCATCCAGAAGCAGACTCTAACGTCAGGCAGAAGTGACACCCACCTGGGGCCCCCAACAGGCATGGACTCAGCATATGCTGAAAAATGATGTAAGGAAAAAAAGGTTTATGTGCATCTGCAAGAGACAATTTGAGGAAGGTTAATGAGGCATTTGGTGGTAGACATGAAAAAAGAAACATTTATTATGTGAGAAGGTAAAGAGAGAACAGCTTGTTCTTAGCACTCATGCTGCTACTCTATATATTAATTTTAAAATTGATAACTCATGTCTGTGATAGTGACAAAATGGTTTTACACTTAACCCAACACCACTCTTTTCTTATGTTTATTTATGAGACAGAACCCAGACACACAACAGCAAGCAGGTGCAGTCAGTGTTTTCATGTCATCGATACGAGTAGGCAGTGAACTGATGATTTGTATGTCAAAAGACATTAAGTTATCTATTTTTAACACTTCTATAAAAGTTTTTAAACATCTAGGTTGGATATAATTATATGCCGCTTCTACACTTTTTAAATACATTTCATTGCAAGGCCAAATAAATGAGAACAATATCTTCAGCATTCTTTCTGAAAATTTGGGATTTTTATGACTAATGAAGAAGTTTACAGTGTAAACATAAATAACATGGAAATTTGAGTTAGGTTTGCGATGGTGCAATCAGTGTTACAACCTTTAACCTTTAGTCTTTTTAGTACTAAAACAAATACAAATCTGTTTTAGTGCGGAGGAGGAAACAACAGTTGAATCAACATTTTAATTTAGATGTCGTTTGATCTGCAAATCACCAAATCACTGCTCACAAGAGGGTAAATGTTTGTTTCTATACTGACCATAAACTTTATCTGTTGAATGTTTCTCAAGTGATAGATGCCTTCATGGTTCTTTACTCACAGATGAAATATCAGAGCTGTTGGAACAATTACAGCAAACAAATCTCGATAGAATGCAATTTAAAATGGTCCATAAAAACTGTGAAAATTAAATGAAGCTAAAAAGCTTTAAGAAAAAAACAGGAAAAGATAAGAGTGATGTGGAGCCCCTTAAGTAACTCAGGCCTCCAGTCCACCCCCATCTCCAACCACTCCACCCTTTCAGGTTTATTACTTCATCTTATAGCCCTCCTCCCTGTTAGTTTAAGGTTGCCATCCTAGCTATTCTTCATCTCTCTATCTTTCTGCCTGCCACCTTGTCCTCTCTCCCTGAATCCCTTTTTTTCTTACATGTTGCCTTTTCATTTTACACCCCACCCCCTCCTACCACTCTCCCACCACCTCTTTCCCTCCCTCCCTTCCCCCCGCCGGTGGCGCCCGTACATCGACCGGAGCACAGACTCTCTTGTTGTCAGTCACTTTCCCGGCGAACAGACGGAAGCAGCAGCAGCAACAGCAGCAGCAGCAGGGGGAGCGGAGACGGTAATCCCCCCCCCCCCAGTCCACCCCACCCCTTTCCAAAACCCAGAAACTGGTGGCAGGAGGGGAACAAAACCTCGTGGGACACCTGTAATTCCCCTTTGGGGCTAAGCATGATTTAGGATCTAAATTCACACCCAAATTGTGGATAATGATGAAGATGATGACGATGAGAAGCAGTTATTATTAAGACGGGGATGTAGACGAGCAACCAAGCAGCCAAATCTGCCTCGATTGACGGTGACAGAGCGGTCGGCGGCACCACCAGCAGCAGCACCAGCAGCAGTCGGTCGGCGGATGGAGATGCGTTGTGAAGGCGGAGGGGTGGTGATGATGATGATATAGCAGGTGCTGCAGGGTCGTGCCGCATTGCCTGGCCGCTGCGGGCGACGCCGGGGAGACGGTGATGCTGTCGTCGTCATTGTGCCACAGAAAGAGAGTAGAGGCTTTGACATGGAGGGACGCGACTGTCTGTCAGCTCTGAACCCAGGCCGCCCGGATCTGCAGGTTGGATGTACCGCCTGAAGCCTGGAGGACCTGAGTCATGATATACATGGTGGAAATTTTACAATAAAGTTGAATTGTTGAAGGTTGAATTGAAATGTTTCTGTGCGTAAAAGTGAATGGCCCATTTGTTGATAATGCATCATTGGATCATCATAGCAGCGGTATCTGTGCCAGCTCAGGGTGGATTACGTCTACAGAGCAGCAGGCCTCCATCTGAAGTCAGCTTCTGATCAGGAAACAATACAGAAAATCATTTTATATACTTCACCCTGTTGCTGGTGGTAACAATTGATTCTGTTGTTTCACTGGAAGCTGGTGTGCTGTGGTCCCCCGTGGAGGGACAGCTGTTGCAAAAGATGACTCACTTACAGGCTGGCCTCTCTCCAGAGACCCTGGAGAAGGCCAAGGTGGAGCTGAAAGAAAACCCTGAGACTTTACACCAGGACATCCAGGAGGTCCGGGACATGATCATCACCCGGCCGGACATCGGTTTCCTCAGGACAGACGACGCGTTTATCCTCAGATTCCTCCGGGCAAGGAAATTCAACCACTTCGAGGCGTTCCGGCTGCTGGCACAGTATTTTGAATACCGACAGCAGAACCTGGACATGTTCAAAAACCTGAAAGCCACAGACCCGGGTATCAAGCAGGCCCTGAAGGATGGTTTCCCCGGCGTGCTCTCCAATCTGGACAGATACGGCAGGAAAATATTGGTGCTGTTCGCAGCCAACTGGGACCAGAGCAGGTAATAAAGAGACAGAGGGTTGGGGCTGGTGGTGGCAGGGCTGTGAAGTCTGTGTTTAGATTATCGATCAGACATACAAAGAGACACATGACACATATAGACTAGGGGAGAGTCGGTGTTTAAAAATAGGCTATATTATAATTAAGTGGATCTGGTTGACGGAGCTGTCCATTCAGCACCACACACGTTTATTAGAAAACTACAGAAAACAAACTTCTTCAAACAATCTTTCTTCTTTAATCAGTTGTGGATAAAATACACTACATGGCCAAAAGAAGGCATATGTGAGGACCCAGACATAGCAGCCCTGTATATTAATCTGTTGGTATAACAGCCTCCACTCTGCTGCTTTCAGACTTTCCACCAGATGTTTGAACGTGGCTGCAGGGATTTGTTTCCATTTAGCCACAAAAGCATTAGTTAGGTTCAACAGATGTGGGTTAGAAGATCTGGCTCCTGTTTAGTTCTAGGTCCAGTTCATCCCAGTGGTGTTTAATGGGGTTAAGGTCATGGCTCTGTGCAGGCCAGTCAAAAAGTCAAGTAGATTTTATTTATATACCCCCAAATCACTGTCCAAACAACACGCAGCATCATCTATCCTTAGATCCTTGATACAAAAAAATATCCTTTACAGGAGAAAAGGATAAACCTTAGGAAGAGCAAAATAGGAGACGTCACTCTTCCAGTCTGGTCAGACATGCGATGTATGTTTTGACACTATGGAGAAACAGAATCACAATATTAAAACTATTTATTTATGGACCTGGCTATGTGGATGGGGGCATTATCATGTTGAAACATAAAAGAAAAGGTCTTCCACAAATTGCTGCCACAAAGTTGGAAGCACACTTCAGTCTAAAATGTCATTCCATGGTGTTGCATTGGAAGAGATGCAGCCCAAACAATGAGCAATAGACCCAGACCAGAGTGTGGACAGGTTTCAGCATGTCCACACTCTGGCCACATAGTATACTTTTTTTACAAGTGAACCTTCATTTAACATTTTATTTTAATAAACAAGAATTAGCACTACACTGTTCTTATCTGACTAATTCATATAGTTTTAAGTAGTTGAAACAATTGTTTCCCAATATTTTAACCTTTTAATCCTTGAAAATGAAGCATTGTCCACCCATCACATGTTGCATATGTCAGTGACTTTTAAGTGGTCCCTCCAAATAATGAGTTAAGAGTAACCAGATTCACAAAAAGGCACACATTGGAGAAAAGTCAGAAACAAACCCACTAATATGTGTAGCAGGAGTGTGTCTTCTGTCCTACCATATTAATCATCTTTAGACCGCTCAGATTTATCCTGTAACCCCTTAGTGGGATCCTGACTGCAAGGTTGGCACACCACTGATTTAAACTACAAACTGCTCATCATGTTGAGGGGAAGAAATAAAATTTTATAAAGGTTCAGTATTTCCCCCTAAAATAAATTGGAGGGAATGCATCATCTTTATAACTTTTGTTGTGAGTTCAAATGTTTTGAATTAAAAATCAAATCATTTATATCATATCAAATCATTCAAATGACAAATCTTTCAAAGATTAATTAAATCGGTCATATTAGGGTTTTTCTTTTATCTTGATTGACTGGAGATACAAAATAAACCATTCACTGTTCATTCAGATAGTCAACTGCTGATGCTTTTCACGCTTGTAAGTAACAGTACTGCAGTGACTTGGTGAGGGTTAGTATCTTATAGTACCTTAGTATAATGTTAAAGGTATAAATAAGGCCAAGACATAACCTTGTTTTGCTTTAATAAGGGATCACGCCTGCTAAGTGCATGGACATTTTCTCTCCTCATAACTCAATTTATAAACATTGGATTATTCATGTAAAGTGTGGAGCCGTAATGGAGCCATCTAGCTTTATCGTGATTCTTCTAGAAAATGTAGACTAACTACAGAAGACTCCACTCCACACAACAAAATCATTATGTAATAGGGAATAATGTGCCATGAGGTGCATAAGATCATGTGCATTTTGTGATTAGTTTCTCCTCTCTGAACATGAATCAATCTGTGAAATCTAATGGGTTGTTTCATGTCGTGCTTGTCATCATTCCTCTTCTATCCAACACACTTTACAAATACTTGTAGAGCTGTTCTTTATTATGTTGGATATAGCTGCAGTAAACTCAGCTCTTGCTTGCAAAAGAAGTATTTATTATCTCTACAAAGAGCAAGGCAAACCTTTTCATGATAAAAGAATCAGAGGAAAAATGTAGAGGGACACAAGACAATGAGGCAAATAGCATACAAGAGAAAACACAACTTTTGAAAAGGACAGCAAAGTATCTGAGGAATTGGGTGGATGAAAACCCATTGAAGCAGCAAACCTCATCACTAGCAGCACCAGCAACCACACAATGCCGAAAGCAATTACACAATAACATGCAACAAAAACATCCAGCAGATGCAGTTTAGCTGTTCCACAATCACCTTGTGACACAGAAACAACTGATTCTAAAGACCACCTTATTGATTCAAGAATAGATTACACTGAAAGGAAGGTTATCAGTGAGTTCTACTGACAATCTAGACTTAAATATTCAGTTTCAACTATGAGATATATGATCAACAATTTATGACCCTTGTCTAGGGCTGCAGCAACTAATCATTATTTTTATAACTAATTAAACTTCATTAAGGATTGAGTGCATGAAATGTCAAAAAATGGTCATCATAGCTTCTCTCAGCCCATGTTGGTGTCTCCATAAAGCTTGTTTTGTCCAACTCTACACTCCAAATAAATTCAATTTAAAATGATATACGACAGATAAAAGCAGCCAGGTCAATGTCTGAGAAGCTGTAGCTTGGACATTTTCTCTTGGAAAGTGACTGAAACAATTAATCAAATATCAAAATAGTTGCTTATTACTTTTATAGTCCGATTGATACTGGATGTTTAAGGCAGATATCGATATCTGAGAGCATGAAAAATCAGATTACAATTTCTTGGCTGATCGTAATTTTTTAAAAGTAACATAAACAAACAATGTTGATATACATATATATTTTTTATTTTTTTATTATAGTTAAGTGCTGTGCAAGACATTTTGCAGTGTACAATTTATCAGCGCTCTCTGGTGGACAAATTACATAATGTAACAGTGACTCTGTTTCTGTACTGCACTGTATTTCTTATTGGCATGGAGGTACACCAATACAATATAGCTGCAATCATAATTTTAAATTGTGTGTGTGTGTGTGTTTTTGTCTTTGTTTGTTTAAATGCCTTAATTTGCTCTCCAGGTTGCTGGCATATAAAAATCGTGTTTCAATAATTTTTTCTCAGATACACATTTGTTGACATACTGAGGGCTATCCTGCTGTCGTTGGAATCTATGATAGAAGATCCGGAGCTGCAGGTCAATGGCTTCATCCTCATCATCGACTGGAGTAACTTCACCTTCAAGCAGGCGTCCAAGTTGACTCCCAGCATGCTGCGCCTGGCCATTGAGGGGCTACAGGTAAGACGCTCAGCTGTCAGAAAACTTTGTTGATGTTCTGAAAAGAAAAACTTACCTTACTTGACTCCAAAGTGCTGGAGGTTTGTTCTGCCACTGCAGAGCTCCTTTCCCATCATCTTTTCTGCAGTAAAAATGTTCCACTTAAGAACAACTCAAGCACCGTGTTAAATCCATGAGCTTGTTTAAAAAGCAATGGAAAAGAATAATGACATTTCCATTTCGATTACACACTGCTGGGTGGTTTTTTCAAGGATCGTTTGGCAAATACAGTAGATGATGCAAAAAAGGGGATTTTTTGTGGTTGTCAGTTTTGATTTTCTGTTAGTTCTTACTTTCTCTAATGAGAGTTAGTATTCCAGTTTCTTTCACATAGCATATAGAAAACAGAGAAATGAGACGTGACAGTGCTCACTGGATGTGTTTCTGTGTATTGGGGATTTTTTCATGGCATGAAAACACATTAGTCCTCTCTCAGTCATCAGGACACCTTTACCCTCATTATTGAAATGAGTTATAGGAGAAAAGGCTCACAGGCAGCCTGTACAGCTGTCTTCTGGTAACCAGCCAAACCCAAGAGGAAATGTATGTTTTATGTGTGTGTGTTTTTTCACTTTTTAGTATGCCAGCGAGGACTTTAACCTGAATGTACACCAGCCGGTGAGGACTGTGGGGAATAAAAAGACACGTTTTGGTTAAGACTTGGTTTTAGGTTTTGGATTACAATTAGGTTACGGTTAGTGGTAGGGTTAGGGGTTAGGGGTTGACATGTAGTTGTGATGGTTAAAGTTAGAGTAAGGGACCAGGGAATGCATTATGAGATGTCCCCATAGGGATAGAGGATGTTTGTGTGTGTGTGTGCGTGCGTGTTGGGGGTATTGCTTTCTCAACAACCCTTGTGAATCATCTGCCAATTTGTGATGTGCTCCATTAGTCAAAGTGAAATCCAAGGGGAAGCGTTTCTAGAGGGAAGTGTTGAGTAAGATGCAGCGAGGTCTAAAAGATTATCTGATGTGCTTGTGATGGATGCCAAACTGTCAAAGTTGCTTCCCTTGAATTTTGCACTAAATTCAATCATATATTTCTGTATTAAAGTAGAAAAAATAAGAGCAGTAGATCTTATCCTAGAGGGTAAACAAAAGCAATTATAATTATTTATATATGTACATGCATATATTTTCTTTAAATTTCAAATAATTTTGTCAATATTACTTATTTAGTGCCAAATGAAGTGTGTCCACAGCACAAATTTTCAAAAAACTGTGAAGTACCAAAAGCCACCATCCAGTGTCTTCTCCAGGGCACTAGCTGTCTTTATGGACATTTTTTAAGGTAATATGCAGGTTACAGTGTGTGACTTTCAATAAAGCATGTTGTGGAAATCAGGTGTAGAAATAGCCCTCCAGTGTAACGATTAGTACATGACTTTCCATTCAAATGTAGCACAAATTTCAACTGAATTTCAAGAAAATCTACAAAGACATTGCAAATGAATGTGCGTTTCCATCCACAGCCGTTACACGAATCTTAGGAGTTAGGTTCATAGAGATAAACAGCTGGTTTCAGGTTTACTGTTGGTTGCCATTAAATCATTGCAGAAGAAGAGTACACAACAAAATGATGTAATTAAAAGAGCACAATAAAACAAAACAGAAACCCAGTCATGGAACATTGCTCTGCACCTTTAACATCCATCCACCAATCCATAAAACATGCCCAGTAATCCTCCCTTTTTAACAGGAATATGAGATTCTCAAATTCATCCATTAGAGAAGCTTATTGTAATGTATTTGTGTTAAAATGATAGAATATACTCTCTTTGACTAATTTGTCCTCTACAGAAGCCCCAGCCAGCAAAATATCATGTGTCTATAAGATGCTTTAATACTTTTTTCCACCTCCTCCACTTTCTCTAAACATTAGCTTTCTTCACACAGGTGATGTGGAATATGTTGACAAAGGAAAAATATTTCTCATTTTTCAAACTGAGGAAACAACTGTAGATGCAAGCCAGTGCATCACTGTGACGAGTCCATATATAACACATTTCCGACGGCTCTCCAGACACAGATTAGAGCCTGAATTATTGATGGGAGCTATTAGCTGAGCCCTGAGTCATTCCCAACTGTGCAACTGCTCACACAAATGGCTGCTCATCATTTGGTTCTGAAAACATAAGAAAGACACATAATAGGGTGATTTGACTTGATTTGATTTGATTTGATGCTACAAATAAAATGTACAACACACATTACTAAAATCATCAAGATTGTGGCAATAAATTCAATCTTATTTTTCCACTGGATGCAAAGATGCGAAAACCAATTTAAGGCTGGTAATGATCTTTATTATTTATATTATCACACAAAAACAAGATCCTACTAACAAGTACTGCGTGTTATGGAAGCCCTAGGTGACCATCGATTCATATCTTTATTTTATTCCATTAGACAGGTTCAGATGATGTCGAGTAAAAACAAAGTCAGGTTAGCTCGCAGGCTAACGCCAAGCAGTGGCTAATGTTATCCGGGTCACAGTTGTTTAGTTGTTTCCACCACCAACGCAACCCATGTTACTTTCCTGTTTACCACTGGTATTATGTCAAAGTGTCTAAGCCTGGTGTTTACTATCCTATAGTGATTCAGCCAGCTAATGCTACATTAGCTCGGACCCGCCGCTGTTTGCTTCATAACGTTCAATTTAGATTTATTGCCTTTTTACCGATACTCACACTATAATATTCAGTCCAGCAACTGTTTCATTATCATCCAATACATGTAGCTGTGCTGACATTGCTGAGCCTCCGGTGAAAGATACACAGATAGTAAAGATAGTGACTGAAAGCAGCAGGCGAGTATGCTGTAGCACGTCGGCTAAATGCAGTCACTGTACTGTTATCGTGTAATGAGCATGGATTAATTCAACATCAAGCTGATAAAAATATCACTGTAACGTTGCAGTTGGAGTTTACCTGAGTTTCCACCATGTTGTGTGAAGCTGTCTCCTTGTCTCTCTCTAGCCGCTGTCACTCTGCCTTTTTTCGGGAGCACCTTGCCAATATGCCGGTGTAACAGAGCCTGAACATGTCTGTGTGAAAAGCCACAGCCGGCGTGCAGTTGTTTTTGCATTTATTGCAGGATTTCTGTATGAAAGTGTTTGTGTTTCTGATTATGCTCGCTCGTGATTTCAACCGAGCACACGTACGAGCACATGCCTGGTTGCAATCTTAAAACCACACCGCTAGTGGCCGCTGGATACTCCATAATGCCCCTTTAAGTTTCACGTTGTGTACAGTATGTGAGAGTAGTAGAGCTGCACCTGAGTCATTCCCACACACGAGATCTAAATATTGTAAAACAGCCACAGTGAGTCACTTCAGTCTAAGCAGGTCTGGTTACGAATTTGAAAACCTGCAAGTGTTTAACAGCAGCTGAGTCACACTCATCTGCAGGGCAGTCGGACAACGTTCATCTTCTGCATGAGGATTTGATGTAGCTTGATGGCTGATTTACAGTGAACACATCACTCAGTTAACGTCTGTGTGCATCAGCAACTTTATATTTGCTGTTGCTGCTGTTCTTGTTTCTCTTTGTTTCCAAAGACTTTCCATATCTCTGCGCTGGATTATGTGATGTCTATGTGAACTGACAGCAATGTGACAAATAACAATAGCGAGAATGCTTCAAAAAAACAAAACATGCAAAATGTTTCATTATCTAGAGAGATTTACTATCAATCTCAAAACTCTATTTATTTTTTAATAGCCCACAAAATTCAACTAAAGTTTTTGTTTAATTATAAGATCATCCAAGATGGTTTGTGTTGTATGGTTTAATTAAGCTTTATGACTTAAGTTTAATTCTTAAAATAAGCCAGCTATCTTTCTGTTACTGCTTAATATCTGGGATTTTATGCAATCCTATTTTCACACTTTTTTATAAGCAAAAAAAGAGACTGACTGTTAGTATGACAAATTTAGGACTAGTTACCTTGTGTATAATAAGTGCATAATCTAATTCAAATTGTGCTTGACAATATTATTTATTCTCGACTAGGGAAAACCTAACTTAAATGTTTGAAAATAACATAATATGACATTCTTGAATAGCCCTTTTTTGTGATGAAAGATGCGAAAATCCTTCAAGTTTTTTTGTCTTGCAGGTTTGCCTGTACTGAGTCATCTGCTTGCTTTGCCTTTGTCTCATCCTCCGTGTTAATGCAGCTCAAACTGCCTCAGTTGTGATTTACTCTTTGTCATGGCAACCCTGACAATGTTAGATTTGAGCAAATACAAATAGCATGTAGGCCACATGCCTTGGGATCCAAATTTCTAGCACAGTATGCTGTGCAGATCACAGCCGAAGCAAGACTGTCAGTCTGGATCCCTGCTGGTGGCCCCTTAGAGGGTGCAATGGTTATTACACCCCAGAATATTCAACAGCTTTTTGATTGCTTGTTTTGTTTTTTGTCTTTTCTAAGGATTATTTTTGGACAGGCAGACAGGAACTAAGGAGACAGAAAGATGGGGAATAAATAAGAAACTTGGGTATAAAAAGGATGTTTTAATTGGATGTGGCACTGGAGGAAAGCTGCTGGAAATGGAAAGGGTTTATCCGCTGGGGAGTGTGAATGTGCTTGGCAAATGTCATGGCCATCAGCTTGCTAAATGTTGGCAATTGATTAATATAGATTTTGGCTTGATTAGGTCACAGAGATAACATTAGCATTCATGCTTTGGGTACTGTGAGCCACAGACTGGCTGCAATGAAGTTCAGTTTATATCACAGTGGCCTCAGTCAAGACTTTTAAAACAAGCTCACTCTGATCGTTCCAGAACCACATCGTTTATCATTCACAACCATTGTTGGCAGAAATGTTGCCCGAATCAAAAATTTGACAGGTGCCAACCAATGCGGGGCTAAAGTCTGGGCCGAATCCATGGGGTGTCTCCCCGGCTTTTGATTTTTAGACATACTGGATGTGGACTTGAGCAACCATCTGAA